CTAACTGCCTGGAAAAAAAATCTAAAAACATAATATCCCTAAACAAAGCTGAATCTTGAGATCAGAATATGCCATGTAAAACAAAACAGATAGAAAGGCACACATATTGTATGATTTCACTTATATGAGGTACCTGAATAGTCACATTCATATATATAAATATAATTGTGATTACCAGGGGCTGGGAAGACAGATGAAGGGAATTACTGTATAATGGGTACAGAGTCTCATTTTGGGATGATGAAAAAATTCTGGATGTAGATTGTGGTGATGGTTGCACAAAATTATGGATGTACTTAATGTTCTTGAGTTGTACACTTAAGCTCATCAAAATGGTAAATTTTACCAAAAATAAAACAGTAGATGAACCAAAATAAAATATAATTTATACCCCCCCCCATTTTTCCCCTTTTTTTGTTAGCAGTTTTGTTTGTAATTTTTTTTATTGAGGTAACAGTTTCCTGCCCTGATTATGATTTAGGGGTATAGATTCACCCCTTCAGACGTTTGTTACTATACCCACTACCAAAGCACCCATAATCCTCCACCATAGTCCATTAGGTCCCCTTCCCATTGCTCCCTACCTTTCCTCTCCCTCTCTGGTAGCCTCAATTCTACAGTCAATTTTCTGGGGTTGTTTTGTTTGATTTTGTCTTTTCCTTTATTCTTTTTTAAAGATTTATTTATTTATGCATACAGGAACTGGGGTACAGGCCAGAGGTACAGGGGAGTGAGAGGATTCACCAGAGACAGAGTGGGGAGCAGAACAGGCAGATACACTGAAATACACTGCTGAGGGGAGCAGCGGGCGAGACAGGTGAGGTCTGCTGCGCCATGTGGGTAGCTCCCTGGCCGGGGATTGAACTCATGCTACAGAGGCTTCAGATAGCTTCATAGTGCTGTGCTTAACCCCTTGTGCCACCAGGGACGCCCAAGTTCCTTTTTTTTATTTTTTATATTCCATATATGAATGAAATCCAATATTTGCTTTTTCCTTCAGAGTTAGTTTGCTTAACATAATACTCTCTGGTCAATCCATGTTGTTGGAAATGGCAAAAATTCATCTTTTTTTTTTTTTTTAATAGCTAAGTACTGTTCTATTATGTGTATATACTGCATCTTCTAATGTGGTTAGGCTCTTCGGAGCCTAACTCCTCTGTGGTTAGGCACTTAGGTTGTTTCTGTAACTTGGTTATTATAAATAGCGCTGCAGTGAACATAGGAATCCATTTGAATTAGTCTTTCTGCATTCTTTGGATAGATACCTAGTGGGATTGCTGGACCACGTAGAATTTTTTTTTTTTTTGGACCATGTCATTTTTTGATACTGCCATCTGTTGTATCTATTATAATTTTTCCTAATAAGATCTTTTCTGTAACAGTTAATCTATCCATTTTTGTTGTTAGATTGTTTGAGCTGTTAAAGTCCATTCATATTGCTTTACTATCTTAATAATATTCAGAACATTTGGAATAGTTTTACATGAAATATTCAATAAATTTCATAAATTCCCTTTTATTTAAATGAAAAAAATGCATATATGATTTAACATGGATAACCCTTGGCCATATTATGAGTTAAAGAAACCAGTCACAAAAGAACACTTTGTCTGATTTTATTTATATAAAATATCCAGACAAGACAGTAATATAGACATGCCTTAATTTTTGGAACAACTATATGTAATTATGTAAGTGAAAATCACAGATTGCCTCATCATGGGTTATATTGCCAACTCTGTCCTACCTTTATATAAGAATCAAAATGTATTTGCTTAGAGAGATAATTTATAAGTTTTTAAGTTTTATACTTGTTTGTCTGCTTAGATACATGTCCTGCTTTAGCCAAATTGAACTCTTACTAATTAAAAATTTGTCTTCCTATCAAATAGCAGTTATATTTTATGTATCTTTACATATGCTGATGAGGTTTTAACATATATCTATGTATTATGTATGTCTGGTATTATACTTATTTCCAGCCATTGGGGAGATGTAGAAAGACAAAGAGGAGTGAAACATAATCCCAGTTCTTACATAATTTCCATTTGGAGATTCCTTTTCAGAGGGCAAGGTAGGACCAAGAAAACACTTTGGTAACACCAGAATCAGCTTAGTAGGGAATCATTGAGGAAGAAACAGATCTTGTACACCACAGGACCTAATAAGCTAATGCTTATTAGTAAGAATTATGAAAGGTGAGGACACCAAACGTTATCCTTAACCAACAGTGGTGTTGAGAAGAACAGAAGGAAAAACTAAACAAAAAAATGTACTTTTTCTCTTTGGAGTATGTTCATCTATATTAGGTCATGATTCTTTTAGTGGGAGAAACAGAGACTTTAGTTAAGTCCAAGCTTAATTTTTATTTATGTTAAGGGGCTTTGCATTATGAAGTTGCAAAATCTGTAGTATAGAGTTGAAGGTAATTACTAGTGGAGAGTCTTGTTTTTAGAACCAAAGGGGGAAAAAAACCCACCAAATTTATCCTACTTGTTTGCTATTAACGTTTTAATTTATAAATCGTTATACTGTCCCAGGGAAGAGCTTCGTCCTGGGCGGCATCCTGTTTATAGTCATGGGCCACCCAGAGTGATTCCAGGACAAACTGAGCTACCCTTTCTGGCTCAAGGTCATTTTTGCTGCAACCCCTTCCAAACTATTTTATGCAACTCAGTAATGTTCTTTCTCCTTCAGTTGGATGTCAGGTGTTTAGCTTCTGGAAAAGCTGTTTTACGTAATGACAGGTTCTTATTAATCTGCATGAAAATGTTACCATGAACTTTAAATATTGTCCAAGTAAGAAGAATATTAGATTATATACTGAGTGCTTATGTAAAAACACATGCTAGATTATTTTATTTTCACCATAGTTCAGTGGCCCTGTAAGGTGGGTACTTCTGATCTCCATTTTACAAAATGGAGGTACAGAGATTGGGAGTGAAATTATATTTCAAAAATTGTGCTGAGAGGCAGAGAATCGCAGCAGAAGGCCATTATATGTACTGCAGGGCACATTATGTATTGCCCTGCCTCGTGCAGCCTTACATAGTAGGCAGAGGAGTAATGATATGAGGTGCTGTCTGAATACCCAGCCCAGAAACAAACAGCCTTGTGAAGGGAATTTTATGTAATGCGTTAGCCAGTTAGTTCTCTGCTATATAAAATTCTTTCAGCTCCAGCTATAATTTAGTAATATATGTAATAAGGGATGTGTGTACATATATATGTGTGTACATATATATGTTATAGTATGTACTGTGCACTGTAATCACATACACGTTTATCTGTTAACTCCTGGTGTAAAGAAGGTCTGGATAAAGGGTATGCAAGAGTAATATTATTTAAATTCCTTAGTCAACAAAATTTCTGTAAAACAGCTAAGCTGGGGCCTCCCTGGTGGCGCAGCAGTTGAGCGCTGGGTTGCGAAGCTGCCCGCGGCCTTTGCAGCGCTGGTTCGATCCCTGGCTGCTCCCTGGCCACCGGAGGAGGGTCCCACATGGTGGGCAGACCTCTCCTGCCGCCCGCTGCTCCCCTCAGCAGTGTCCTTCGGTCCTTCTGCTTGTTTTGCTCCCCGCTCTGGCTCTGGTGAATTCTCTCACCCTCCCGCGCTTCTGACTGTCCCCAGTGCTTGTATAAACAAAAACAAACAAATAAATAAATAAATAAATAAATAAAACATGCCTCTATAAATTAAAAAAAAAAAAAAAAACAGCTAAGCTGCTGATTAGGAGGTGACGGGTTGAGCTAATTATACTTTTCCCCTCCACGTTGGTAAAAATGCCAGTGTTAACAGCCATTGGAAAGAAAATGAAGAAACAGAGCACAGGACTGACTCCTCGATCATTGAAAATCGACTAGAAGCTGAAAATCACTGGACACATTCAAGTTAGAGACCAGCTCCTTTCTTGGCATTTTTATCTAGGTCGGCTCTGCCAGTTGTGGCTAGAAAGGCGCTTGCTCCTTCTCTCCTCATTTTCCTGACCACGCTCCCTTCCCACCTTGCCCTCTCTCCTCTTTCTCTCTTTCCCTTTTCTCTCCCACTCCCCAAATTGATAAGCCAATAGCGTGCAGCAGCAGCAGATCTTCCTTTATCCCTTTTCCTACTGCTGCTTTACATGCGCAAGTGACACCTCTTTCCTACCCACTTTTTTTTTTGGAGGAATTTTGAAGCACTCTCTGGCTTCCCTAGTTTTTACCACTGAGATCTGTTCTCTTTAACTTTGCAAGATGAATTCTTCTTCTTTTTCCCCTCTTTCTTCTGAACTCTACATTTTAAGGGTAGATGTCATTAAGCGACCAGCAGTGAGCCCACCGACTTCATTGTCTGCTATTCGCCTTTTGCGTAGTAGAACCAGAATAGGGCCTCACCTGGTGGTACAGTGGTTGAGCGGTGGGCTGTGAAGCTGCCCGCAGCCTCTGCAGCGCTGGTTCGATCCCCGGCCTCTGGCGAGGGTCCCACAAAAAACAAAACAAAAAAACACCAGAATAAACACTTTCACTAGACATAGATCAGCCACAGATACCTTTTTCTCTTTTGATATTCAAGACGCAGTATTGACTTGTCCTAACTTTGGAAAATTTATTCAAGTATACGAGATTATGAGGCCTCAGCTGTTTGCCTTGAATGTTATTGTTTACCCAGCTCATGTAACAAGGCAGAGTATATAACTTCAAGGAGATGAGGGTGGACTAGTGGTTAAATTGAAATATTCAGAACTCTTTTTACTCATTAGGCATTGCACGAGATGATCTCTGTTTTGTTATCCATGGAAGAGATGATTAACTTGAGGAAATAACCTTCTGAGGAGTCCTTCAGAAGTTCCAGTAAATTCCCAAATGTCATCAAGCTATTGCCAGCTGACATTCACTTTTAAGAGCCTAGATCGCTGCTGTGGCCTCGGTCATGCTTATTTGCTTGCACTGTGAGTGTTGATCTGAGGGAAACCATTCCCTGATTTGTTAAAATAATGAAGGTTTTCTCCTTACGCTTTTTCAAGGAAATGGCGAAAATCCTTAATCATCCCCGAGTCTACGCTTTTCTGCACATACCAGTCCAGTCTGCCTCAGACACGGTACTCATGGAAATGAAAAGAGAATACTGCGTGGCCGACTTCAAAAGAGTGGTGGATTTTCTGAAAGAGAAGTAAGTCTGTTAGCACTTAAGAAAATAACCATTTCTTTTTTTCTTTCAAAAGCATGTGGCAAAAATGCACTTATTGTGGCCACAATTAAAGGTACCAGAGGAAAGGCGAGACTTTGGAAGCTTTCAAAGCCTTTAAGTTTCTTCAGATACCCTTGATGTGGTTTCTTCCCTCTTCTCATTTTATATCCATGTTCCATCTGTGCATGACACGCCGTTAATTTGTTAAGGCTGCCACTCTTTCGAAGGTAATGTGCTTTTGATATTGTGATATTGTGATTGGTTTTATACCTGACCAGTAGATGAGTATAGCTTCAGCTCCGCTCCGCTTGCATCTCCTTTAATGTGGCTTTTTGAAGTCATGGGCTGGTTTTGACATGGAGAGAAGCCAAATCATGTCACTACATAATAGATAATTTTCTACTAAATTGCATTTTTTTGAAGGGTATCTGGAACATCTCTGCTTTTTTACACACTGATCCCTATAGTTTACTTGAAGAATTGTGATTCATAAAGGGGCTTGGGGATACTGTGTTTTAAAGTTCAAATTGCTATTGACCAAAATTAAGGCATATTTACACAATCTCAGACATGAATGGTAATTTTGTTTCCACAGAAAACACTTGCAGCCCATAATTATGTTTTTCAGAATCCTCCTTCTCATCATTACCAAACATTGAAATGCTTTCTGTGATTATACAAGGCAGGAAATAGTGCGGTGGCCAGGGTCACACAGATCTCCTCAAGTGCAGGGCACTGTTCGCCCCTCTGGGGATGTCATTTATTTCAGCGCATTTGTGGCGCGGGTCTTCCTACTTTCCATCATTTTTTCCCTCGCTTGTTATTGTTAATTTAGATACAACTTTTTATTTTCCTCTTCTCATTTACAATTATGCATTTTGTACCACGTCAAGCTACTGCATAGTTATGATTGCTTTATACAAATTGTAAGCAATTATTTTTTCCACTTTCAATTAGTCACTAACTCTGAATACATACAAATCTTTTAAAATCTTTTTTTCTTATATTTGCTTTCTCCTTCCTTCCCCATCTTCCATTTATGTGTCCAATTTTTTTCACCTCTAGGCATTTCTTGATTGTCGCAACCACCCAAAATAAAGACAGTAAGTGTGGATTCAAACAAATACAGCTAATTGTTGAAAAATTCAAATCAGTGAGTAGAAGATGTGTTTATTCGAGGATTTCATAATTGTAATCATTAAGTATCTTCAGCCTTGAAAGTAGAATACAACAAAAACAGATCTTTTCCATCTCTCTTACTTTCTGATCTTAAAAAGAACTCAGGTCAAGGATACAGATTAAGGGTTTTTATGTTGAATGTCTGTTGTTGGTCTTGAGCCCCCTCAGCATTTCTTTTACCTCATGGTAGGTAAACTTCTGTCATGTAAGATGACTTTGGGCACACTGGCAGGGGGGAATGGAATGTTCTCGAAATGGAAAATAAATTGTTAGGTCTGAAATTTCTTCTTGCTTACTCGAACAGTAGTTGATAATGTGCACAACTCATACCTGTTGCACAAGATGTTGCCAAGTGTTGACATGCATCCTGTTGCACAGAATAGACCAGAACACTGTCCAAATAGTTTGCTCCATTAATTTGATTCAGGGAAGTTAAGGAATCAACACATCTCCTTCACTTCTATTGGGGGAATGCTGACTCAGTTGTTTGGAGAATTACTGTGGCTACTGAACTGGGCAACAATTTCACAATAAGTTCTGGCCTTTTATGTTGTTCCAAAGATAGACCTATTAAATATGTTGCATCTTGAATAGTTTCAGTAGTTCATACAGCTAACAGCTGCAAGCTATATGGAGGTCAAAGATGATCACATCCAAGTATTAGATAATAGTCCATTGCCTTTACACATGAGCTAAAGTCACTCTCCTTTCTTTGGGTTCGGAGACATCCATGGATGTCTTCTGAAGCTATTTCAGCTTACTGGAAGGCTCTAGGAGTTGTTTTTATTATTTTGGTGGGATTTTTTTGTTTGTTTTTTGTTTTTTAAATAACTTTTCAATGTGTATATGCAATGAGTGCAAAGCAACCCTGGTATACAGTTTCACCTTACATTATACCCAAGGTATATTCAAAAGCAGAGAAAACAGCTAATATGTCATACCTGGTAGGTAGGTAGATAAAACAGATGCATGAGAACATTACAGATGGAAAAAGAAGAAGAAATCACATTATCATTATAAAACAAGGTGGGTTCAGGTCACTGTGGGTTCTCACACATGTGCTCACAGTTGCAAGACACTACAAAGGCTTAGGATACAACAATGGGATTTTATTAACAAAGGAAAAAGGCAAGAACTTCTAAAGCTACAAATGGTCCGCTGTCCTACCCCAGGTAGTGTTTGCAGTGTTCAGTAGTTCAAAACAAAGGCTGCTCCTGCAAGATGGTGCTGTCCCTTCAATGAGAGCCTGGAGCTGGTGTTGCACTGGTACATAGTGGGCCAGGATCCAGCTCATGGAGGCAGCTGGAAGTGATCGCAGGTGGGGCTACTGAGGAGCCATCATAACAGCTCACAGCAACAGTCTGAAAGCCAGGAGGTGGTGCTGGAGGATTGAAAGTGGTAAACAGCTCTCAGAGGTGGTCAGACTCAATTCAGCAGTGCTTGTCAGCAGTCAGCCATGCTGGAGCCAGAGACACCAGTATTGCAGCTCTTTGAGAGCTGTTGGCATAAGCCTACAGCAAACAGATCTTTTAGAGACACTAGGCCCACACCACCGGTGCTCTTTGTAGGCATTGTTAGAAGCTGAGCCGGAGGCAGCTATAGTTGCCAGGTCTCTGTGAAGATCTAAGAATTTCTTTAAGTCCTGATGACTCTGTCTTCAAGGGTCTAATGAGTGAGTCTGCAGCCATCTGCTAAGTTCCCTTCTTCTGAAGGCATCTGATGAATGAATCAGCTGGAAATTCTTCCGGCTTATATCCTCTTCAGCCATATTGCCTTTCAAGCTGCCTTTATAACCTTAGCTGTTTGATTGGTGCTAGTGTAGCACCAATCAGATTGGCCCATATCAATTCTCGATGGTCTCAATAAAACTTTGAATGCACTGGTGATTGCTTGAACCAGATCTGTCCAACTCCAATCCTGGTGCCATATCAAAAGTGAAACCCTAGCTGCCTTTCCAGACCTGATCTATACTGAGGTCAGGCCAGGCTCTTTGCTGGGCTCAGGGAAGCTGTGGCTAGAGCTGCTCAGAGCCAGCCATTCTGGCCCAGTTCGTAGCCTGCTGGCTTCCCTCCTGTGACTTGCACTGGACCAGGCAAATTTTACCTCCAGAGCCACAGGGCTAGCTTGCTCAGGGTTAGGGCAAGGGAACTACTGCCTCTGTGACTCTCAGAGGTCCAGTGCTGACTGAGGCCAGCGCTGGGGCCAGCTGTCAAGCCTGGATGGCCTAGCACACCAGGGGGTTCCTTTATTCCCTCTTGTGGCTTATGCTGAGCAGGGGCCCCGGGGGCCCCTGTGGCAATTAGCTTTATCATGCTAATGTGTTCCTTGCTGAGTTTTAGATAGTTCATCAGAACCATATAATTGCGTATTTTGCCCAGTTCATCTTATTATTTTTCAAATATTAGCACAAGCATACTCTTGTGCACACAGTGTAAGATATAGCTTTGCTCTTTAGTGAAAGAATTTACCAGTCTTCTTGGGTAAGTCCATCCAGCCAGTAAATAATTTTCCACTATGATGAATATTTACAAACAAATGAAATATTTTAAACTGACTTCTGTTCTGAGAGCTTGTGCTTTTCCCTAGAAAACCTAACATCATAGATTTTTGTTAAATAGATTAGTGCTTATTAGAAACATGGACGTTTCTGTGGACCCATTGGTCTGGATTACTGACCTAGCATAAAATCTTTTGTCTCATGTTTTTTTTAAAAATTCAACTCAATACTGTTCTCCTTAAAAAGCAGGGCCTAATGCTATCCTGTTGCTCTCCCTGTGTTGTGCCTAATGCCCATTCATAGAATGGGCCGCATTTGTTCTCTCTGCTTTTCAGTTCCTGTATAATTTCAAGCCTTTCAAGCCTTTTTTGTAATGAACCTTTAAAAATATAAGTGTCTCATTTATTTTTTTTCTCTCCAACAGTGTGAGACTTCTCAAATATTCATGTAATGAGTTAGAGACGAGGCATTCCCTAATCTGTTTCTTGAAAAAAATCAAATCTCTAAACAACCTAAAACAAGCCATTTTAGACTGAAATCCAAACTTTGGGAGTTTACCTGAAGCTGCAGGCTTTTAAACTACAAATTCAGCAGTATTTGTGGTGCCATGTTTCTCAAACCGTGGAGGTAAAATCTTTGTAATTAATTTTCTTTACAGTTGAAATTGGCCTATGTTTTAGCTGGGAGCAATATAAGTTTACATATGAGCCAACTTGAAGCTGATTCATTATTCTCTTCAGTTGTTTGAAAGTTGGCAGCTATTATCATAACAGCAGCTGGATTGAAGATAACCTAGTAGTGTTGGCACATGTCGAGGCATATGGGAATTTATTAAATCATGCAACCTTTGCAAAGAAAAGTGTCTGAATTACTTAATACACTAATTTAAAACAGCTGGTCATGAGCAGACAATCAGATGACTTGAATTCTATTTAAATTTATTAATCCAGTTGGAAAATTAAGTAATTTGATGTTTTTATTTAAATGGATAAGACAATTTCTTGAAATGTGTAATGGGATTTGTAGGGATAGGAAAGAAAACTACATGGAATAAAGTAAGAGGCACAATTCTGCTTTTAGAAAGATTTGTGTTTTCATAGTTTTTAATAAATGCCTCATGAATGTCACTACTTATGTTAATTGTCACTTGACTGATTTCTCTCTTAATATAATTCTGGGATAGAAAAAGTATAAAACAAAAATCATTCATTTTTTAATTTTCTTGTAATTTTACAAGGGTTACTTCTCAGTGGATGAATTTGATGTTTTTATATGTTGGGGATGATATAGTTAGGGTCCCCAGGAC